TGCTTTCATTGTAGCGAGTACAATAATATCATCATCGCCTATATTCGTATCGCTGATATCCACATCCAACAATAACTGCATATGGCGTAATGGGGCAATACTACGTAATGGATTTCCTGCTATTCGCAGTACTTCTAAACATTGTGAGTCTATTAAACCCAAAAGACCATCACGCTTTACATTTGCCCATGATACATCTAATAAACATAGTGAAACTGCACAGGCTAAATGACCCACAGATTTTACTCCCCGGCAGCCAGTCAAGTCAAGATGTTGTAAACTCATCCCATTATTGTTGTTATTATTACTACCAATAGAGGCTATTCCACTCTGTGTTAAACTACTACGAGCCACACAGAGATGTAATAGAGATGGAGCTTCCGTTACGCTGTTAACATCTGTGATACCTTTGCAATAGCGAAGAATTACTTCCCGTAAACTGTTACTCTTCCCAAGTCCGGCAATACCATCATTGGTGAGTTCCCCACAGGATGTGAGGTCCAGTCGCTCTAATGTAGTCATGCGGGCCATGGCATTTACATTTGTAATTTCCACACATCCCATCAACCGCACATTCCGCAAACTCTTTGATTCCGCCAATAGTAATATACCATCATCATTCACATTTGTAAAGGAGAGATCAATGGTGTGAAGAGATGAGGCGGTGGGAAGTCCACAGAGACGTGTAAAGCCACGACATTGTGCCAGACTAAGATCGCAGAGTGCATGATAATGAGAAAACTGCAAGTATCCATTTTCTATCACTGCATTACTTGAGAGATCAGGAAGGCGAGGTGACGGTAGACTAATAAGAGCATTACTATTCGTCATATTATCACATTGTGAGAAATGTACCTCAACAAGACCAGGGAGAGAAAAAAGTACATTTAATGCATTTTTACCTTTCTGAACTGGGCATTCAATTAATACAGAGAGAGGTAAAAGTTGTTCTTCTTCCCCAATTGGTCGGCTTAACCACCAAGCCATACAATGAAGTGTTTTTTCTTCTCTTGTTGTGTAGTG